TATCCTTCAGCATATATTTACTGAGCCCCAGCTACACACTAGCATAGTTACTGTGAGTGGAAGGCTCTGGGACACCACAGTGAACTGAGTGGTCAAACATCACGCCAGGGGGAACCAATTCTAGAGAAGAAATTAGATTTAAAAATTAAATAAAACAAGGTGGTACAGTTGGTGAAAAATACCATGAGGGGAAATACAGGGTGGAGAGAGGACAGAGCAGGACACCCTGGCTGGGTGGGGAAGGACATTATTTTCAGAAGAGTGACCAGGGAAGGCTTCGCTGAGAAGGTGCCATGGGAGCGAAGCCTGAATCCATTTCCTATGTGCCCTGCAAATACTCACAGGGCTTGCACTTTCAGTGTTCACCCCAAACTAACTCACAGATTACAGTCCTAGGCTTACCCCCCAAGGTTTGTCATGAAATAGCTTGTGTTTATTATTTTGGCATCTCATATAACAGTCTTTGAAAACAAAGACATCATTCTATTTATATGATTATCTTTTTAGTAATTATGTTTCTATTTACAAAATATAGTAATTTTTGATTGCTAAAAGTTAAATAAACGCTGGCAGTGAGAGGCATTTTTATTTCTATGTAGGAAAAAGAAGATGAAGAAGCAAGACAGAACTACATGGGGTGCAGAAGAGCCTCGTGGAGGGAGGCTGGATTAATCACTTTCCTGTCACTGGCACAAAACGGGCTCGTGATTTCCAGGGGGTTCCCCCTGAGGTTGGCTGGCTCCAAGGAAAAAGTGGCACAGCAGAGGGCACAGTGGAGGAAAACAGCCCAGTCCATTGCAGCCAGGAAGTAGAAAGAGAACAGAGGAGCCAGGGGCAAGAACACAGCTTCCAGGTCACACCCCCAGTGACCCCTCTTCCCACAGGGCCCACTTCTTCTCACGAGCCCACTCATCAGTGATCAATTCACTGAGAACATGACCCATCACCTTCCAAAAGCCCATCACTGGACACATGAGACCTGGGGTGGCCCTCAGCTCTAACTACAACCAAGGGCACTGCAAGTGCCAAAGCACTGGGGCAGGAGAACGCCCGTGTTCCCATGAGGAGTCCAATCTGAGTGAAGGAATGTGGAGAAGTACGAAGAAAACTGGAGTTGAAGTGAGAATGAGGCCCCTGTAGCTCCTACCCACCAACTGGTCCTTTCTCTCATGAACAAAGCCCTCCGTGCAGGCTCACGGGGAGGACTTGACTGCAGTGACATCCATCTGCAGCCCCTGCTCTCAGGAACACAACTCACTGCGGCTGGCACCTATCGCGTCTAGGTTGCACACGCTCCTCGAGGCACTTCTTAGTACTGTGCAAGTACGAGAAACAAGCCAGCCAAAAACAGGACCTCACAGAATTAAGGGTCCAAGGCCATTTGTGTGTCACAAAGCACAAAACACCTCAGGAGTCTGGCATCCAGAGTGCAGCAAAAGCCAGGAGCCCACAGACAGTGCTGCATGCGATTCTGCGGCGATGAGAGGAACTGAAGTGGACAACTGCTCTCCCTCCAAAGGCAAATCTAAATTTCAGCAGTGCTAAAAGTGTAAGTTCCCCTCAAAGCAAGCCACCAGGAACCTAGAAATTAAACTTGCTTACCCTTCATTTTTAGAATGTAGACAGTAAATAATCCACATGAATGTGTAAGGACGGCCCAAGACAATAATCTAGTCTCCTGCATTACTTGTGAAATGTTTCTCGTGTCTGCCCAATGTAAAGGAAGGGTTGAATAGCTAGTGAAAGAGAAGAAGGGTCTTTTGAACCTCCCCGCACCATACCGACTTGGTGACTCAAGCCATGGAAGCCTCACATCCCACCTGGCTCCCTGTAAGATACCGGTCACCTTTCTCCTCTAGAATACTCTCTACAATGAGTTCTGGATTACCGCAAATTGAAGAACATAAGGCAACAATAAATGTCCTAAGAAGGCTGTTCCTATCTTCACAAACACTTTTATTCATTTATCTCTTCGAGTGCACTGAAAAACTCCAGGTGAGATGCAAGAGTAGGACCACTAAACATCACGGCCCTCCTAGTAGGGTTCTGCCACAGCCACGGGAGCCGTCCACAAGGACATGCCAGTGGACAGCAAAGCCCATGGCCACTCACACCCAGCACTGACTCCTGAGGCTTTGCCATCCATCCCTCCCAAATTATGTTCCAGAAATCTCAAATACAAGATTGCTTACTGGTTTAGGATAAGACCACTTTATAGAAATTTTCACTTGGTT